TTAATTATAATTCGATAAAATTTTTGAAATAAAACAAATATAAAAATACTACTAATATTTTTATATTTGTTATTTATTTATATTTTTGTTTAATTTTTATATTTATTTATTTACATATTTTTATACTTATTTATTTATATTTTATTTAAAAAAATTATTTTGAATTCAACTTAAATTATTTTAAATTATTATAATGTTTTTGTTATATGATCTCATTAATATAAACTTATTAATCTGTTTAAATCATTAAATAATAAAATCTTTTTATATTAAAGGATATGGAAAATGTGGAGTAGCAGTAATTCGAATATCTGGTCCAAAAGCATTAATAGCTTTAAAAAGAATGACAAAAATATCTCAATTAAAACCTAGAATGGCTCTTTTAAAAAAAATCTATGATCCTGAAACAAAAGAAATGTTAGATAGAGGTTTATGTCTTTGGTTTCCAGGTAATGATAATATAATTTAATTAAATAAAATTTTAATAAAATAAATTCAAAATAATATATGTGAATTAATATAAAAAATAAAATTAAATATTAACAATTAATTTAGGACCTAATTCATTTACTGGTGAGGATTGTATAGAATTTCATGTTCATGGTGGTCCTGCAGTAATTACATCAATCCTAAATGCTCTTGCAAAACTACATTTTCAATTAGCACTTCCTGGTGAATTTACAAGAAGAGCATTTTTAAATGGAAAATTAGATTTAACTGAAGCAGAAGGTATAGGTGATTTAATTGAAGCAGAAACTGAGAAACAACGTAAGCAGGTAAAAATGAAATCAATCTATAAATAAAATCATTATTTATATAAAATAATAAATAAAATCATTCTATAAAAATACTTTTTTATCATTTCATATTATTATATTATATATTATATCATATATATTAAGAAATTATATTTGTATTATAATTGTATTATAATATAATATATATTATATTATATTTTCTACTAAAATCTTAACAGGCTTCTAATCAAACAATTGGTTCTCTTTATCATATCTATGAATCATGGCGTATTATTCTTTTAAATATTCTTGCTAATTTAGAAGCTTATATTGATTTTGCTGAAGAGCATGATGTAACTTCTAATGTCTTACAAGATACTAAAATTAATATTCAAAAATTATATGTAAAAATACAACAACATCTTTCTGATGAAAGAAAAGGAGAAATTTTACGTAATGGAATACATGTAGCAATTCTTGGAAAACCTAATGTAGGAAAAAGCAGTTTTTTAAATCTTCTCTCTAAAAAAAATGCAGCTATTGTTACATCTTTGCCAGGAACAACAAGAGATATTATAGAATTAACAATAGATATCTGTGGATATCCAATGATCCTTGCAGACACTGCAGGGATTAGAAATGATCCAGAAAATGAAATAGAAATAGAAGGTATTAAAAAAACAAAGGAATATTCAAAGAAAGCTGATTTTATTATATGCATAATTAGTGCAGAAAATATTGTAAAAACATCTTTGGAAGATTTTGTAAAACAATATAAGAATTTTTTGGAAATAAATAAAAAAAGAGTTCTTTTAATATTAAATAAAATAGATTTGATTAAAGAAGATGAAATAGAAAGTTGGAGAAAACAAAATGTTATTCCTATGTCATGTAAAACACAAGAAGGTTTAAAAGAACTTATAAGTGCATTGGGACAATGTTTTGAAGAAATGTGAGTGTATATATATAAAATTGAAAATTAAATAAGTGTTATAAATAATTTATTAAATGTTATAATAAAACATTTATATTTTTATTATTTTATTTTTATTATAATTATTATAATTAAAACTTATTTTATTAATTTATATCTTTAATTTCAGATGTGGAAATCCATGTAAAGAAAATCCTATTATCAGTCATGCTCGATATAGAAATCATTTATTACATGTTTTAGATTATCTTAAATGCTATTTAGAGAAAACTGAAATACCAAATTATGACATGGCTATATCTTTGCAGGATATTAGAAATGCAGCAAGAGAACTTGGCAAAATAACTGGTTCTATTAATAATGAAGAAGTTCTTGATATTATTTTTAAAAATTTTTGTATAGGAAAATAAAAATGCATACATTTAAAAATCAATATTTATACTTGGTATTTATTAATGAAAATTCATAATCATTATTTATGAAAGAATATATAGCACATTTTTATAATAAAATATAAAAAAAAATTCTGTTAAAGAATTCAAAATTATTATTAAAAACATAATTATCAATTTTCAGTTTTCTTTTCTTGTTCTGTTCCTAAATGAGCTATATTTATTTCATCCAAATTTATGTTTTGATCTTTCATTGCTTGCTGAAACATAATAATGTACATTTTTTAAATTGTACCAAAATAACAATTGTTTAATAGTAAAATATAAATAATAATAATTTGTATATTTGAAATATTTATAAAATGTAACATAACACAAAATAATTATATAAATTTATATTGACTTTATGTAATTTCAAACATAGAAATTAATAATAATCATAATTCTTAAAATATTATTGAAATTTTGACAAAAATTAAATTTTTATATTTATATTTAATACATGAAATTTATTAATTTTTATTATAGTCCATTTTATCTAGATTAGAAGATTTTAAGATAGTTTTAAGATTTATAATTTTAAAATATAAAAATTAAAATCTAAATAATCACACATATTTCAAATAATTTTTTTATAATATATATATAATAATTATAAAATAAAAACTTTAAATAGATAAAAGTCAGGTTAGAATTTCAAAAATAAAGAAAGTTAATTTTTGTCACATTTAACTTACCGCTACACACTTGGTATAAACTTTAAGTAATGGTGCACATTCACTATCATCATAAATTCCGCGTAAAAATTTTTCAGAGAACCAATCATTAAAACAACGATCATATTTTGCTTTTAATTCTTTACAAGCTTCCATAATTTATGTTAAATTTAATTAATTGCACATTAATTTAAATATTAGTGAATTGAAAATTAATATTACGTTAATAATTAATTATAAAAATTTTGCTTCATTATTCATTGTGTTCAAAAGAAAATAAAATTGTGCAATCCATACATTCCATGCATTACAAATGATTTTCATTATTACTGTGCATAACACATATTGCATTATTTTACATATTTTTAAGGTTAATTAAAAAAAAAATAAATATAATTATATTTTTAACAATTATTTATATTTTAATTTATTTGTAATAATTGTAACTGAATTCATTTTTACAAAATTTAAAAAAATTTCCAAAATATTATATAATTTATATTATATAAATAATTTTCAATTTCATGATACATATATTTTTGATATATATATAAAATTGTAATTTTTTTATTTTTCAATTGAACATTTAATTCAAATGGGATTTTATAAAAAGAAAAAAAATTTGATTACCTGAAGACATTGATTATACAATTTGAAGTGATTTGAGCACATTGAATCATCTAAATCTCCTTTAAGAAATTTTTCGGAAAACCAAAGCTTAAAGCATCCGTCATATTCTTTTTTGAGATTATTACAAGCTTCTGCAATACTATTCATTTAATATTTTTATTTATTATTAATTTCAAAATATACTTTTAGTCAAGTTTTTTTTAATTTTTTATATAATTAGTAATACCTATAAAAAATATATATTAAATGAAATTAGAAATTAATTAAAATAATTTTAATTTAAATATTATTAATTTGATTGTAATTATCGATTCTATAATACTTAATATCGATTAAAATCGATTAATCGGACTGCGTTTATTCAGAACTATATATTTCATAATGATAAATTGTCTTGTTAAATTTTATTATAAAATTCATTTAATCGAATATTATAATTTAATATCCAAAAAATGATTATAATTGAAAAAATTTAAAGTAACTTACGTCAAAATAGTTTTAAATTACAAAATTAAATTTTAATAAACGAAAGGCACAAAAGTAGCTTTTGGTTAGTAACGTATCAGGTAAATTAATGATCAACGGTTCTCAATTTGTTTTTCTTTAACATATGTTAAAGTAATATGTATTCATTATTCGCATAGGGAATTTCATGAATGTATGATTACTTAATAGAATTAAATATTATTTAATAAAGACATATCATTATTATGCTTCAGAAAATATAATTCTTTTCTTCTTATAATTTAATAATTATTTTTAAAAAAATATATATCATTTTTCAAAATTTTGTCTCCATCTTTGAAGACAATAATATAAAATACAAATAAAATTCTGTTTAATTTAAAAGGATAAATTATATAAATTTAAATATAAGTGAGAATACATTTTTATTTAATTATTTTAATATTTTAATAAGATTAATTAGATTTTAACAATTTCTATTAAAAGATACATACATATTTAAAAAATATATAAATATCTAATATATAAAACCACACTAAAAAGACAATTTATAAATGATAAAGAAAATAATGTAAAATAATATTTTTGAACATAGTTTAGTTAGTTTGTTAAACAGCCTTAAATAAAATAAATAAATTGCAATTAAGATAGAAATTAAAAGTGAAAAAAAGATACTTTATATATATTATATAAATAATAAAAATTAAAAAATTGAATTCTTTTATAATAATAATCGTAATATATCAATTGGAACTTGCATTGTTTGATCATCAACTAAGACAATATCAAATTTTTCCATATATGAAGCCAGACTACTTTCAACCTGTAAAAAATTCAATTTGTAAGTTTATTTAAAAATAACTATATATTATATATATTGTATATAATTATATATTGAAATTGTAAAATTATTTAAGACATATCAAATTATACTATATTCATAATTTCATTCAAATTAATTATGTATGTATGTTAATATAAATCAAATATAATAATCTATCTTATTTAAAATATATATTTTAAATAAAAAATATAATTATTATTAATTATTTACATATTATTTATTAATATATTTGAATATACTACATAATTATTTTTCATAATATTTTTCAAATATGAATATATAAATTATTACACGAATACCTACATTATCATAAAGAAAACCAATTTTTAAAACAGCACATGTATTTAACATTCCATCAACCATTGATGCATCACCTATAGTATCACCCATTAAAAGAATATTTTTTCTTTTTTCAAAAACTTTAAAATATTCTTGTTCTATAGCATGTTCGTTTTTATTAAAAACATGAATTAGTCCTTTATTTTGAAATCCTGCTAATTTCCCATCTTCATACTTAAGAAAATTTGAGATTATCTAAAAGATTAAAGTAATTTTTATTATTATATTTACTTTTATTTTATTATGTATATTATTATTATCATTAATATTATATATTTTTAAAAAGTTAACAAATTTATAGAAAGAGTTGTGTTTAAAATATCATTACCTTTACATTATTAAATAAAATTTCTTGGTTTTCTAAAATAGCTTGAACAATATCTCCTAAACCAGCACTAAAAACCAGTACTGGAACTTCAGCAAGATATAATTTTGTTAAAAGTTCTTTTGTACCATCCCTTAAATTTGTTCCATAAATCTTGCTTACTTCTGATATTTCATTAGGATCAAAAGGTATTCCTTTTAATATTTCTTCTGCAGCTATCATCCAATCTGTCATTGCTTCTGTTTTTATTTGAATTGATAAATCAGGATCTATTTCAATCGGCCTATACTTTTTATAAAGACGATTTGATTCTTTTGTATATATTTCTGGAAGTTGCTTGCATTTGCTAAAAATTCCTATTTTTTTTTAAATTTCAAAAAAAATTATATTTTATTTACTTTATTATAATAAAAATTTTATATATAAAATTATATATATAATATATATATTTTTTATTATAATAAAATACTATTTACATGTTTACATACCAAAAC